GTTTTATCTAAAAAAGGCGGCAAAATTTGGTGAAACTTGAAGAAAATTTTGAGGAAAATAGTCGGAACAAACTCTTTTTTAAATTCTTACAACAAATTTCAAAAATTTTAGAAAAATTTTGAAAATTCATCAAAAATACTTAAATTGAGCTCTTTTATTAACACAGAGTTTAACTTATTAAAGTGCATTGCCTTATCTAAGTTAGTTGGTAGGGCTCTAGTCTATTGGTCCACAGGTCATAGGTTCGGTTCCCACTCGAGACTTTGCTAAACAGGCTTACAACAGGTACTTTAAAAGGCCCAATAGGCCGTTTATTTAGTTGAAACTCAGTTTAAAACAAATTTTCCAAAAAGTCCTTTTGCCATTTTGGAAACGGTGTAAATAATTTGATGTCAAAGCACACAGGCTCTCGTTGAGTATAAATTAATAATTTAGTATTGTGTGCTCAAGTTGATTTTAACTTGTTTTTTTTTTCTTTCAAAAATGGCAACAAACGGAAATGTACCAACACCAACAACAATGCGCCATCTAATACATACATACATTTACATATTCATATACATATATGTAAATATATAAGTTTTATACTAAATAAATACTATTACTCTAAACATCAGCCTCGCCAGCCATTGGCAATCATAAACAACTCCCTGTGGACATAAAATTGAAAAAAAAGAAAAGAATGCAGAGAACGCAAAAAAGGACATTTTCAAATCATTAAACCACGCAATATATATATAAATGACTCATTGGGTTTTTAAAATTTTTCTATATATATTGCTAGGTCCTTTTATATTTGATAAAACGGAAAAAATATGACATAATTAAAACAACAACACTTCATAATTCATAATAGAAAAATTTCCAATACTACTGCTAGTTTCTAATACATATACATTTGTATATGTATATGTAATAGAAAAAAAAAACATATGTATAAAAGTAAACACCGTGGCAAATTATAATAAATTATACCTAAAGGAATTCATTTTTATTCCTTTTGTTGTTGTTGCTTTAACCATTAACTAATGAAAATTTTACTTTAACTTTCGACTGGAAATGTAAATTTTTTTCTTGGAATTTAAGAAATATATTTAAATGAGGTTTTTCTTAAAGGCTGAAAGAAAGCCCAAGACTTAACCTAAAAGCCAGAATGATAGTCTGGGGGATTAAATAGCAAATTATTCTGGTAAATGTTGCAAAAGAAGCCAACCTAGTAAAAAGAAAAGTTTTAACTGGAATTATTAGGTTCATAGTTGTAATAAGCGGACTTAAGCTGATTGATTTAAAGCCGGGATGTTGGTCTGGGGGTATTGCGCAGCAAATTATCCTTGTAAATCTTGCAAGCAAGTTTAAACAATTCTTGCAATTGGCTAGGTAATATAATAATTATGACAATAATTACTATCAAAACTAATTTGCGAGATTAAAAATCGGTTTTATAAAGTCTAGTAAATTTGCAAGACCATAACAAACTATACTTCAAGAATGTTAAAACATTGCAAGAGTATTAAATGAAGTGCAGTTAGGTTAATGACAATAACAAAGTAATTATAAGTCAAAATGTATTTTTCTAGATCTTAACATAACTAATCCTTGCAAATCCTGCAGATATAACAAGACTAGAAAATTTCCCTTGCAGATATAGCAAATCTAGCAAAATACCGGCAAATGGTCCTAAAGACAATAATAAAATATAAAACTAGGATTTGCTGAACTTAAAGTAATTTGTTAAACTACAAAGTATGCAGAAAAGGTCTAGTAAATATGCATAACAACACTTGCAAACTAGTAAAAATCTTGTAAATACCCTTGCAAATTGTGTAAACATAACAAGTTTTATAAATATGTTGTAGTTTGCTTTATAACAATAATTATAATAACATAAAAGTTTTCCTCTTGGTATTTTTCATAACTAATTAGACTTGCAAATCTTGCAAACCTAGTAAAGTTTAGCAAAAGTTCTGTTTATGTCTTAACAACAACAAAATATACTAAACTAAGATTTGCTTTAGTTAAATAAGTTTACAAATGTAAAAATTATGTCAAAAAGGTATAGTAAATAAGCAATAACAAAGCAAACTACCTTTGCAAATATAGTAAAGTCTAGCAAAAGTGGTGTAAATGTCTTAGCAATAATAACAAATGCTAAACTAGGATTTGTTTTACTTAAATAAGTTTGCATAAGTAAAAATTAAGCCGAATAGGTATAGTAAATAACAATAATAACAAATACTAAACTAGGATTTGCTTTCTTTAAATAAGTTTACAAAGGTAAAAATTATTCCGAATAGGTGTAGTAAATTAGCAACAGCAAATCAAACTAACCTTGCAAACATGTAAAGGCTGGCAAAAATTCATAACATAATATACTACACTAAAATGTGTGCTATTTAAAAAGATTTGCAACACCTTGCAAACATAGTAAATTGAAGCAAGAGCTCTACAAATGTCTTAACTATAATAAATACTAAACTAGGATTTGCTTAATATAAATAATATTGCAAAAGTAAAAATAATGTTGAATAGGTGTAGTAAATAAGCAAACTACCCTTGCAAACTTGTAAAGACTGGCAAACATTTATAAAAAATATACTAAACTTAAATTTGCTATATTTAATCAAATTTGCTAGCGTAACAATTGGCAAATAGGTGTTGTAAATCTACAAGACCACATAGATTAGTATGTAGTTGCATATTTAAACTACTATCATGTAAGAATTCAAATCTTTTAGAAAGGCTTTGGAAAGAACTTTGTCTTCTTGGTTGAAAATATAAGCGTAACAATTGGCAAATAGATGTGGTAAATGTACAAGACCAGACGAATTAGTGATTTCATATTTAAACTATTGTAAGAATTCTAATCTTTAAAAAAAATACTTTTAATTTCAGTAGAAATTCCAATATTTTAGAAAAAAAACTTTTGATTTCAATTCGATTGTATGGCAAACATTGCAAATTGTCTCCTAAATTGAAAATATTAGAGTTTTAAAGAAGTAAATTACTAATTACAAACCTTTTTCTTAAGAAAAACCTTACGATTTCCTCTCGCTTATATGGTAAACATTGTAAATATTTAATATTTAATTGATTATAAAACATCTTTACATCTTTAACCAATTTCGATTTCCTTAACCTTAAAATTGTTTAAAAATATCAAACGTTTTAATACCTCCTTGACAATTATCCTTGCTAATACTACATGCAGTTAAAAATATTATATTGCATCTTTTTCTTTTCTATTTTATACAAAATTTATTTTATTAACTTCCTTAAAAGTTGTTATTTTAGTCAAAAACTGTACTCTAGTCCTTAATTTTACACAATACACTTACATTTAAACAGGATGTGCCTTTTATGTTTTTTTTTTGTCTTTGCTCTCGCTCTCGCTCTCCACGTAACTAAACTATCTGTGAAGAATGCCAACCGGATGTAGTTTGTTTTCATTTCTCCAACAATTTTTTTTTTTTATTTTAAAGTTTGTTTTTCTTGTTATTTTGTTATATTTTTTATTATTGATATAATAAAAAATCAATTCCTGTAAAAACTTAAGCTGTGAGGGAGAGGGGAACTTTATAAATGTTTTTCTTCTTTTTGTTTAGTTTTACAGTTGTTTTACTTATTCAAAGTGAATTTTAACTTAAAGGAATTTACAATTTCCGGACACCTGTTGCCAGCGACAATTTGATATATTAACATTTTAAAAATTGAAAAGGAAGAGAGTTTTTTTTTTCTGGGTATTTAATAAGGATATTAATAGTTATGGGTTTTTCTATTAGTTTTGCATTTGACACACTGAGTAAAAGTTATAAAAATACTAAAAGAACTTTTAACAAACTAAAATTATATGTTAATTAACTTTAATACTTTGCTAAATTAGAGAGAATTAAGAATTTCAAGTATTTTTTTGTAAAATACTTTTAAAAATCTCATTATTTCTTATGTTAAAGAGTTAAATATTTAAAAAAAATCTCCCTTTATGAGAAACAGTCTATGTATGTGTGACCTACAAAATCCTAAAAAAGTGTCATACACAGAATATTTTATACATTTTTTTTTGTTTCTGCCAGTTATTTAATAAGTGTTTGTATGTTTAAACTATGTATGAGTATGTGAAAGCAAAAAACTCTTTATAACTGCTGTTTTTAAAATGACAGTAACAAGGATAAAAAAAAATTATCCTTTTTTTTATACATTTTTGGTTGTTTTGGTTCACAGCTCATAACCTCCTGCTAGCAGCTACTAGCCCTAATACAACGTATAAACAAACACACATACATACATACTTACTTGTCAATTGCAGTGTTATGTTCTTGTTGTTTTTTACCTTTAAGCTAAATTATGTACAAAGTACCTACACACGTTTGTGTCATCGTCATCATCATCATCATCATTCAAGTATTCTTTCATTCATTCCATACAAATATGATTGTATATGTTTTCTATATAGTTTAGCTATAGATGTTGTTATTGGTATTGTATATGAATTTCAGATATTTGTGGTTGACATATTGTGTGTAAAAGAAAAACGTTCAAAAGATGATTCTTCCCAAACATGTTTAATTGTATTTTAATACTTTTTTTTATAAACACACAGACACAGAAAGCAGACAAAAAAAATGGTCATGGGAACCAAAAAAATTTCATTGTTACAAAAAAAAAAAAAATGCAAATCACAGCAGTGATTACTTTTTAAGGATTCCCTCAAAAATTCTTTAACTTTTTTATAAAACAACAGACTACCCTTGCAAAGCATGAAGACATAGTAAGTTGGTCTAGTAAACAAAAAATCATGTTATACAAGCAAAAGAAATCAATAGGTCTAGTAAAAATGCCAGACTAACCAACAGAAAACAAATTATCAATTATATTTTATTAATTCTGTAAAGGAACTCTATTGTTTACCTTATTTTACAAACAATATTTAATTGTTTACATGATGTAAATCAAAATTAACAAACATTTCTAATAATTCATTTCCTTATTTATTTTTTTTTTAGAAAATTGGCTGCCGTATACTAAAAGTATTTTCAAATGTTGCACCCCAAAGTACAGACCGAGTGGTCCAGACGGTGGGCAAACAAAGTGAAGTTATTGATGCCATACGTGAAGTTATAACGCTGACAAGAGAGACACCCATTAAGGGTCCCGTACACAATTATGATCCCTTAAATTATGATCGCATATATGCCGATGAATATGGCGGTTATGGCAATATACCCGGCAGTAGTCGTCCCTCAAGAGATGGTCGTCGTGGAGGCGATAGAGGTGGTGATTATGGCCGCAGTGGTGGACGTAATGATCGCAGCCGTAGTGGAGGCCGTAGTCGGGATAATAATCCCTTTATAAATCCCTGGGCCAATGATGATGGTGGTTTTGGCGGTAATGGAGGTGGTAATGGCGGATTTGGTGGTGGTAATTTTGGTGGAGGCGGTAGTGGTTTTGGCGGTGGTAACTTTGGTGGTGGCAATAATGGTGGTTTTGGTGGCAATGGTCCCATGGGTGGCAATAACTTTGGCAACAATGGCGGTTTTGGTGGCAATCAAGGTGGAGGCGGTGGTTTTGGTAATAATGGTTTTGGAGGCGGTTTTGGTGGTGCTGGTAATCAAGGTGGTTTTGGTGGCAACATGAATCAGGGAGGTTTCGGTGGTCCCTCTAACATGGGCAATGGCATGGGTGGTCCTTCGGGGTCCTCCGGCTTTGGTCCCTCGAATAATGTTCCCAATAACATCACCGGCAATCTACCCGAAGGTCATGATCCCAAAAACAGCACACAAGTTTCCATACCTAAAGATGTAAGTTTTCTTTAAATAACAATTTTTAAAATTTTATTAATAATTTCCCTTATTCTGCTTAACAGTTGGCTGGTGCTATCATTGGCAAGGGTGGCGGCCGCATTAGACGCATACGCAATGAGTCCGGTGCTTATATAACCATTGATGAACCCTTGCCCGGTTCCTCTGATCGCATTATTACCATCTCCGGTAATCCCAAGCAAATACAAATGGCCCAATATTTGCTGCAACAGAGGTTGGTGTCAAACAAAGCCTAAAAGTATGCATTTTTTTCCTTTCAATCATTTTATTTTCATTATTTTCATTAACCATTGAAACATTATTATTACAATACTAACAAAAATCTGGTGTTTGGTTAAAAATATTAAAAAAGAAGTGTTTTATGTGTGTTAATGGGTGCTTTTAAAGGTTTATCTTATTTATTCATTTTAAAACAAAACAAGAGTAACGAACCAAAAAATACTCCTTGTATGGAAGACTAGTGATTTTGTTGTTTTGATTTTTAAGTACTAACAATAAATCCCTTGTCTTCTTACAATGTTTATTACTAGCTGCATTTAAATAACTAAAAACAAAATAATCAAAAAATATTAATAATACATTAATTTTAGAAAACATTTAAGAACTCATTTAACTATTATTTTATGACAAATTATAAGTTTACTATAATATAGTCTTAAGAAAAGTGCAAAACTAATATTTAATTATCATTTATTTAGTATTTTTTTATTTATTTACATATTTATACATATTGCATTAAGAGTTTTATAGTGAAAAAAGTAAAGAAAAGAAGTAAAACAACAAATTTTAAATCTATTGAATTCTTTATTAAATTTTTATTGAAAACAAATTCCTCACAGTTAATAAATTTAAGTGTTTTTTCGTAGTTTTTTCGAACCATTGCATTGTTTACATGATGTCAACTAGATTTTGTTTTAGGTTTTTTTAATGTAACCAAAAAGATTGATTCGCAAAACTATTTCACCATTTAACACGTTTCCAAGACAATGACCCGAGTTTATCACGCCCAAAGATTGTTAACTCAACGACAGCTGTATCAACCGAAAGTATGTTCCCCAGGAAAGAAATATCGGCCACAGTCGAACTGTTACAACACCATTTAACAAATTTAAACGGAAATATTAATCGGTTATTTAAAAATGACACACGTTTTACATTGTTTACCTTATATTTACCCAAAATATACATTGTTTACCTGATGTAAATTATGTACTTTTTATGTTTCCACAAGAGAAACCATTGAAATTTTTACACTTTATGATATTTGGCTAATTTTACTGATTTTTTACATAGTTGACATAATGTCAAGAATTGTGGTTATAAGAGATTTTCCTTTTTTCCATTGTTTACCTTATGTAAACAGTTTATTTACATATTTCATTAAGAAACTAAATTCAGCTTGTATCTATTAGTTTATTTTGCTTGTAAATTTACATTGTTGACATAATGTAAACAATATTTTTTCTTTTAGATTGATTGGTATATGTGTTTACACGAAGTTTCTTCTTTACAAAAAATTTACATTGTTTACCTTGTGTAAACTAAATATTTTTTTATATTCTTATAATTTTCACAATGAAAATTGATTATTTGTGCTTTTTAGTTTATTTTATGTATTATTTACATTGTTGACATAATGTAAACAAACGAATTTTACCATGTTCATGTATTTTCTTTTGATTTTTTGTTTAACATACAAATTTTATAAAGAAAAGTAATATAATTATAGCTTTTTGAGCTGCTTTTACTCATTCATTCATTACATTCTTGACACAATGTAAACAATCGAGATTTTTACAGATTCTTATTTTTTTCATAATTATTCGAGTTTATATAAGACGAATTTTGATTTTCTATAAATTTTACATTGTTTACATTATGTAAACTATGTATATTTTGTAGTTTTGCAGGATTAATTAATGTAAATAATCTTTTTGAGTTGATTTTACTCATAAATTACATTGTTGACATAATGTAAACAATTGAGTTTTTCACAGATTCTAATTTTCTTAACAATTATTTAAGTTTATACAAGAGAAATTTTGATTTTACATACATTTTACATTGTTGACATTAAACTATGTATATTCTGTAGTTTTACAGGATTATTAATGAAAATTTAGATAATTATAGCATTTGAGCTGATTTTGCTCATAAATTACATTGTTGACATGATGTAAAGAATCGAGTTATTTCACAGATTCTTATTTTCTTCATAATTATTTGAGTTTATACAAGAGAAATATTGATTTTACATAAATTTACATTGACATGATGTAAACGAAGTTTATTTTGTAGTTTTACAAGATTAATATAGAAAATTTAAGCCTTTTATATATTTATTCAGCCTTTTGAGCAGATTTCATTCATAAATTACATTGTTGACATAATGTAAAGAACCGAGTTTTTCACAGTTTCTTATATTTTTTCATAATTATTTGAGTTAATAAAGAGAAATTTTAATTTTACATAAATTTTACATTGTTGACATCATGTAAACAATGTTTATTTTGTAGTTTTACAGGATTAATAAAGAAAATGTAGGTAATTATAGCCTTTTGAGCTGATTTTACTCATAAATTACATTGTTGACATAATGTAAAGAAACGAGTTTTTTCACTGATTCTTATTTTCTTCATAACTATTTGAGTTTATACGAAATAAATATTGATTTTACATAAATTTGACATTGTTGACATTATGTAAACTATGTAGATTTTGTAGTTTTGCAAGTTTTATAAGGAAAAGTTTTGTAATAAGAGATTTTTGAGTTAATTTTACGCATAAATTACATTGTTGACATAATGTAAATAATTGAGTTTTTCTCAGATTTTAATTTTCTTAACAATTATTTATAATTTTGAGCTATTTTTACTCTTAAATTACATTGTTGACATAATATTTTATTACATTGTTTACCCAGGTATTGAGAATTATTTTTTTTTCAAAGTTTAAGTGAATTTTTTAAAAGAAATACATATAGAATTATAGATTTTACTTAAAAATGTAATATGTTTAAATATTATTAATTTATTTTTTTAATAAATCAGTATTTTTAATTTAAAAATTGATGAAATATTTTTAAAATTTCTTTTTATTAATGATTTTTTTTGTATTTTTATGTAATTTCAGTGTCCACGATAACCAACGTAAACATTTTTAAAACAAGCTATTCCTTAATAATAATAATAACAACAACAAGAACAACATCTTTATAGTTAAGTAAGCTCCACCAAAATATCCAACTCCTCCTGTATGTCAAAGGGCCAATCAACACAAAAGAAAGAGAGAGCCCTGTTAAAAAGATTGAGTTAGTTTTATTATAAAACTACTAGCAGCAGAAATTAAGAAATGTATACAAAAATAATTTGTATAATTCTAACATAAGAATAATAATATAATAAATATAAAACAAACAAATACATAATTATAATACAACAACAACACCACATTTTAAGTATAAATTCTAAACAATTGTTTTCTCCCAAATATTATTACATACATATTTCTTTTCTTCTTTCCTTATTTATGTTTAAGTTAATTTTATTTTTAAAACATAATAATATGGAGAATTCATTATACATATTTCAATGATAATTGAAATAATTATATGTTTTTGCTAAGTTAATTGGCATGAAAAAAGAAAAAAACAAATTATACTTAGTTTCTTTCATTCTTTAATTATATTTTTAATATAAAATGTATTTTTTTTAATGTATAATTTTCTAAACAAACAAACAAAATAAATAAACGACAAATACAAGCCCACCATCAACAAAAAAAAGGCGCTTTTCTTTTTATTGATTCTTTTTTTTTTCACTTATAAATAAGTTTGTTTCATTTGTAGAAACATTTACTTTATTTGTATTTTTTTGTTTTGTGTAAAATAATTATTAACATAACAAAGCAAAACAATGGAAATTAAAAAAAAGGAGCGCCTTCAAATATACCAAAATATAAAGTATACAAACAAACTAACATCCATTTTATTAAATTTTATTAATAAATACTTTAACATTTACTTCAACAAACAGTCGTTAATCAAGTCAACTAATTCTTAATTAAAACACAGAAGAACAACATGGAAAAACAAAAACTAATTTAAGTTTTTAGTCTTTATTCATTTAAGTTTATACTAAAACTGATAATTTTGTTTTTTGACCAAAAATTACCCAAAATTATTATTTAAAAATTTTTCTGCATGAAAAGAATAAACGAAATTTATTATGAAAAACAAATAAAATTCAAAATATATTCTAATTAATTTTTATATTTTTTTGGTAAAGTTTAATTATGTAAGTTAACATTTTCAAACGTTTGACTTTATTGTAAACATATAAATTAAATGAACAAAAATAAAGTAAAATAAAAAGAAAATTTGGAGAAAAAAATATATATTCGAAAGTGTTGTTATTTAATCCTTTTCTGATAAAACTTCAAAGTTCTAAAATGTTTGTTGGCAAATAAGTTCGTTTCCACGACAATTAGATCTCCGCTCTGAAACGCGACTCTATTCCCAATTGACAAAAGATTTTCAACACCGTAACGGTGTATAAACGAGAAATTTTTACCCCAGGGAATTATTATTATTTATAGCTTTAAGGCCGGCTAAGGGGCGCACAGTGCCTTACGAAATTCTTTAAATTTATAACGATCTCTAGATATAACTTCTTCCCAATGAGCCTCTGAGTCTAACTCTAACTGAGCTTCTTGCCGGTTTCAATGTAGAGCTCGCCTGGCAATATTATTTGAGGGTTTCCGTAATGTGTGTTCAATCCATTTCTTGCAGGCAATCACCCCTATTCTGCAATTCAATTCGAATCGAAATTTCATCCGTTTGGCAACTTTGGTATTCTGCATTTCGATTCGAAGCTCCGTCACTAAAATAACAACATACAAAAAGTAGTTACGATCGTAATGCAGAATACACATTGACGTCAAAGTGCTACAGGTGGTTTCACTGAACCATCTGATTTGAGCCATTTCATATAGTTCAGTTGTTGTAACAGCTTAACAACTACACAATACAGTTCAGTCTGAACCAGTGACTTACAGTTTGTAAGGGAGATACCAGTAAATGCGTCGATTTCATTCTCCCCTCTCATCTCACCATTGCTGGCAAGTTCGTCAGCTATACAGATAGCTATCTCATTCAGAGATACCCGACATTCTTCGGTTAACCTAGATGTCGTAAGGACACCCGCTAGATTTCTGATAGCAGCTTTGCTGTCCGTATATATAGGTACATATATCACCCGATATTTGATAATACCTCAGCCAGTTGGCGACTCTTTTGATAGCAGATATCTCTGCCTGTAAAATACTACAATAATTAGGTAGCCTAAAAGAGGATTTGATTCCAAAATCTTTCAATGTAAATGCTACCACCATCCATTTCACTCCTCCTGGAGCCATTAGTGTAAACATTTGATACACCATTAGTTGGGTGGGCTCGGGAACTGAATTCCAAACAGGAAATCGGATATGAAAGCGTCTGTCAAAGTGAGGTTTCACAACGCAATAGTCTACATTAAGATGCAAGGATTCGAAGTGTTCAAATTATTCGTGTGTGCCCTTGCCTTAACTACCAGACCACGAACCACATGCCTTTAGTCTGATTGCAGAATAAAGGGCCAGTTGAATCACCAGCTGACCTGATGGTAACCAATTGATTATAGTTAACAGGGCCTTGGTTGGCGTCGACCTCATTGCTCCCGTAATCAGGATTGCAATGTTTCGTGAGGTACGTTCGATGTCTGCACAATGAGAAGCGTTTTCCTTTGCCTGTCACCATACGATAACACCATAGAATGGGCTTAACAACTGCTTTGAAGGTCCAGTTGATACCTTAAGGGTTAACGGCCCAGTTAGAACCAATATCTCTCTTACTGGTGTAAATAGCAATATTGCCTTATTTATCCTGTTTCATATTCCAGAATAGTTTACTGTCAAGGATTACTCCAAGGTATTTCGCATGATCAGTGAGATTGAGTCTTATTCCATTTAATTTTGGAGGCATGAAGTTCTCTATCTTATACCTCCTTGTAAAAAGGACAAGTTCTGTTTTCAGCGGATTTACACTGAGGCCACAGGAAACTGAAATGACTTCACCTTAAAATATATTCGCCTTGGACTTGGTATAGGCATGTTGTGATTTAGAGATTAATTCCATGGGAATGATTAATCTCAGATGTACATCAATGACTCTTTCAAGAGTCTTGAGAACTGTGTCCATAATAGATTGACAATTTTGTCGGGTACTTCTTTTCGCATGAGAGCTTCCCCAATTTACTGATGACTTAATCGGTCAAGCGCCTTTATTGCTTGAATTCGTTGATCTGCGATACTCTTCTAAAGACGAGCGGCTCTTATCTTGATTTGACAACAGTCAGTTAAAAGTCATACATGTACACTCCTCGCCACTTGAACAGCACATGTAATCACTAGCAGTTTGAGCTCCACCCCTCAGTTTGAGCTCCACCCCTCATGCTAGTCTTGATACATATATCAAATGCATTTCTGCTAAATCTGCACGATCGCATTGGTCATGGCACCATCCTACAAAAGATAGGCAGGCCAATCATGGGACAGGAAACAGACTACACTCTATCTAAACTGAATTTTAATAGGTCATTCAAGACCAGAATACCCACAACGGATGATTGGGCAGCGAACACTGTCCTAAGGGACGACGTGATCTCAATCTATACTGATGGGTCGTCCCTAGACTTAACCCTTACGCAAGAGGATATTTACACTCCCCTGACGACCCTATCAAAATTGATAGATGAATGGGCTTTGAGTGAGACGGAACTCAGGTGGTCAAATATCACTACTTGTAGAATATCGAGACTGCTCTGGCCCACTCTGACAATAGATAGGACTAGGACTCTCTTGTCTCTTAGTTGCAACTCCACTAGCTTCTAACTGGTATAATTACTGGACACTGTATGATTGGACATATGTCGGAACGTATGGTTTACCCACGTTATAGCTACTGTAGAAGCTGGAATCGGTGCAACATCTTCTATGTGACTACCCAGCCTTACAAGAGCACAGACTACTCAATCTTCCATGATTTAGACTGTCTCAGAGATGAGTCACTAGTAAACATTATCGGTTTTATTAGAAGCACCGGCTGGTTTTCACGGAGACTGAACGAACCAAGTAGTCAACGAAATTAGGTAGAGAAACCATCCATCATCAATAGTAGGGAATGGCAATTCTAAGGGCATCACAATGGGTCACAAGGCAATCGAGTAAACTCGCTTACTAGCGAGCAACCCACAAAACCTAACCTATCCTATAGACAAGCTATATATGATCCGGAAAGCGTGCAAAATAAAATTTTGCTCATTTAAGCGGACACTGCCCCCACCAAATCTATCCAAAATTGGTGAATTTTGAAAAAAACATTTTGATTTGAATAGAAAATCTTAAGAACGCAAAGCACCAATCCTCAAATCGGTTAAAGTTTAATCCCAAAGTCATTACCACACAAATGATATTTTATTTAAATATGAAGTTTTGTTTATTTTAATTTCGCAAAAACAGACAAATAAATGTACATTAATTTTTATATAAAATTAAATTTAAAAATATACTTTACATTAATAATAATACAATAATAATTAAAAAAGAAGAAGACAATAATTTATTAATGTTAAAAATTAAATAGTTAAAACTCAAAAGTACATTTTAAATAATTAAATTAATGGACATTTTTATATAAATAATTTTTTTAAAAAGACTTGTGAGGGGATATTTTGTGGTTAAAACTTAATAAAACATAGTATAATTAATAACTTATAAAAAAAGACAAAAAAAGTTTATAAAAAACAATATAAATTATAAAATTTGTTTTAAGATAAATTAATTAAAGAGGAATATATGTACAAAAGCCAATTATACAATGAATTGTTTGTAAAATTTTTAATAAAATATTTTTTTTTATAATAATTAATTTAAAGTGTAAAACAAATTGGTATTATTATTATTATTTTTTATATTAAGTAGTATTATTAATTGTTTGTGTTTTTTTTAATATTTTTGCCATCTATAGCACCAAGTGATCTAGGTATTTTTCTTTAAATACTTGATTATTTTTTTTTTGTTTTTTGTGAATATTAAATTATTAAATTAACAAATAATAAATCATTATACAATATAAAATTATGTTTATTATTAAATGAATATAAATTTATATAAAAAAATATTAACTATTATATTAATTTTATTTTAATTTACAACATAACACAATAAAACATGTTTGGAATGTACTGTTTTACAGTTTTAATGCATACAGTATGTGACAAAAGTAAAACAGAACTAGCGTGGGTTTGATTCTTATCAAAGAATTCAATCTTTTTTAACACAATAAGCGACTGATCATTATTTCCCTACAAGTGAAGATGTTGTTATAGTTCTGAAGTAATGTTTTACTTTTGTATCATACTGTAAAGGTTTAAATTTTTTATAATTTTTTTCTGCATATAATTAACAAGCATTTATAGTACATAAGTCTGGATGTATATAAAAATTGTTTATTTATTTATTTATTTCTGTATATAAATAATTTAAACGAAAAAAGTAACAATGCACTTTACTGTTACACAAATTAATAATTTAACACACGGTGAAGAGCAAAACAAAGCAAACAAATTTGCAATATTTGTTCCTTAATTTCAAAATAAATCGATTCAAAAGTAAACCTCATAAACAAAATCTAAAATTGTTAATTTTACATCAAAAATTTTAACAAAACTGCTCTTTTTAAAATCATCACTGTTCACATTACATATTTGTTAAGTGCCTTTGATTTTGTCGCTCATATCAAAAAATATATCATAATAATATTTAAAATAATAAAAAACAGCAATTAAATTTGAATTTAAACAAAATATAAAAACAACTAATTATTTCTTCCTCTCTCTCTCTCTCTCTCTCTATCTCTCTTTACATCCATGGTCTGTCCACGCACGACAACACATTGTATTAATTACGTTTCGATGAATTAATTAAATATTTACAACAATGTGTCAGCAAATGTTTTTCACTAGATGATGATGAGGAGTTATTATGATGATGACTATGATGCGGTGGTGCACCCAATTCACGTGTGTATATATCCAAACCATATTGTCCTTCTTCGGGGAAACTAAAAAATAAATAAATAAAAATCAGGAAATTAATACATAATAAGTAGTTGAGTATATATTTTTTATGATTGTACTTATTATTGGCAGTGATTTTTGTTATTCAATATAATTTCTATAATTCAGAAAAGTTTTAATATTTATTTTAGCCACTAATTAATGTCATATTCATGGAGTGTTATTGTTTAATATGTATTATGGAATATTGATTGAAATTTTTGAAATTAATTATTTTATACACTAGTCAATAAACTAGTTCACAATAATATCTATAGACTAGTTTATAGTCTAGTTTAGTCTATAGTCTAGTCTAGTTTAGTCTATAGTCTAGTCTATAGTCTAGTCTATAGTCTAGTCTATAGTCTAGTCTATAGTCTAGTCTATAGTCTAGTCTATAGTCTAGTCTATCTAGTCTATAGCCTAGTCTATAGTCTAGTCTATAGCCTAGTCTATAGTCTAGTCTATAGTCTAGTCTATAGTCTAGTCTATAGTCTAGTCTATAGTCTAGTCTATAGTCTAGTCTATAGTCTAGTCTAGTCTATAGTCTAGTCTATAGTCTAGTCTATAGTCTAGTCTATAGTCTAGTCTATAGTCTAGTCTATAGTCTAGTCTATAGTCTAGTCTATAGTCTAGTCTATAGTCTAGTCTATAGTCTAGTCTATAGTCTAGTCTATAGTCTAGTCTATAGTCTAGTCTATAGTCTAGTCTATAGTCTAGTCTATAGTCTAGTCTATAGTCAAGTCTATAGTCTAGTCTTTAGTCTAGTCTATAGTCTAGTCTATAGTCTAGTCTATAGTCTAGTCTACAGTCTAGTCTATAGTCTAGTCTATAGTCTAGTCTATAGTCTAGTCCTATAGTCTAGTCTATAGTCTAGTCTATAGTCTAGTCTATAGTCTAGTCTATAGTCTAGTCTATAGTCTAGTCTATAGTCTAGTCTATAGTCTAGTCTATAGTCTAGTCTATAGTCTAGTCTATAGTCTAGTCTATAGTCTAGTCTACTAGTCTAGTCTATAGTCTAGTCTATAGTCTAGTCTATAGTCTAGTCTATAGTCTAGTCTATAGTCTAGTCATAGTCTAGTCTATAGTCTAGTCTATGGTCTAGTCTATAGTCTAGTCTATAGTCTAGTCTATAGTCTAGTCTAGTCTAGTCTATAGTCTAGTCTATAGTCTAGTCTATAGTCTAGTCTATAGTCTAGTCTATAGTCTAGTCTATAGTCTAGTCTATAGTCTAGTCTATAGTCTAGTCTATAGTCTAGTCTATAGTCTAGTCTATAGTCTAGTCTATAGTCTAGTCTATAGTCTAGTCTATAGTCTAAGTCTAGTCTAGTCTAGTCTAGTCTATAGTCTAGTCTATAGTCTAGTCTATAGTCTAGTCTATAGTCTAGTCTATAGTCTAGTCTATAGTCTAGTCTATAGTCTAGTCTATAGTCTAGTCTATAGTCTAGTCTATAGTCTAGTCTATAGTCTAGTCTATAGTCTAGTCTATAGTCTAGTCTATAGTCTAGTCTATAGTCTAGTCTATAGTCTAGTCTATAGTCTAGTCTATAGTCTAGTCTATAGTCTAGTCTATAGTCTAGTCTATAGTCTAGTCTATAGTCTAGTCTATAGTCTAGTCTATAGTCTAGTCTATAGTCTAGTCTATAGTCTAGTCTATAGTCTAGTCTATAGTCTAGTCTATAGTCTTGTCTATAGTCTAGTCTATAGTCTAGTCTATTGTCTTGTCTATAGTCTAGTCTATAATCTAGTCTATTAGTCTAGTCTATAGTCTAGTCTATAGTCTAGTCTATAGTCTAGTCTATAGTCTAGTCTATAGTCTAGTCTATAGTCTAGTCTATAGTCTAGTCTATAGTCTAGTCTAGTCTAGTCTAGTCTAGTCTAGTCTAGTCTAGTCTAGTCTAGTCTAGTCTAGTCTAGTCTAGTCTAGTCTAGTCTAGTCTAGTCTAGTCTAGTCTAGTCTAGTCTAGTCTAGTCTAGTCTAGTCTAGTCTAGTCTAGTCTAGTCTAGTCTAGTCTAGTCTAGTCTAGTCTAGTCTAGTCTAGTCTAGTCTAGTCTAGTCTAGTCTAGTCTGGTCTAGTCTATAGTCTGGTCTAGTCTATAGTCTAGTCTATAGTCTAGTCTATAGTCTAGTCTATAGTCTAGTCTATAGTCTAGTCTATAGTCTAGTCTATAGTCTAGTCTATAGTCTAGTCTATAGTCTAGTCTATTGTCTTGTCTATAGTCTAGTCTATAATCTAGTCTATAGTCTAGTCTATAGTCTAGTCTATAGTCTAGTCTATTGTCTTGTCTATAGTCTAGTCTATAATCTAGTCTATAGTCTAGTCTATAGTCTAGTCTATAGTCTAGTCTATAGTCTAGTCTATAGGCTAGTCTATAGTCTAGTCTAGTCTAGTCTATAGTCTAGTCTATAGTCTAGTCTATAGTCTAGTCTATAGTCTAGTCTAGTCTAGTCTAGTCTAGTCTAGTCTAGTCTATAGTCTATAGTCTAGTCTAGTCTAGTCTAGTCTAGTCTAGTCTAGTCTAGTCTAGTCTAGTCTAGTCTAGTCTAGTCTAGTCTAGTCTAGTCTAGTCTAGTCTAGTCTAGTCTAGTCTAGTCTAGTCTAGTCTAGTCTAGTCTAGTCTAGTCTAGTCTAGTCTAGTCTAGTCTAGTCTAGTCTAGTCTATAGTCTAGTCTAGTCTATAGTCTAGTCTATAGTCTAGTCTATAGTCTAGTCTATAGTCTAGTCTATAGTCTAGTCTATAGTCTAGTCTATAGTCAAGTCTATATTCAAGTCTACAGTCTAGTCTATAGTCAAGTCTATATTCAAGTCTATATTCTAGTCTATAGTCTAGTCTATAGTCTAGTCTATATTCTAGTCTATAGTCTAGTCTATAGTCTAGTCTATACTCTAGTCTATAGTCTAGTCTATAGTCTAGTCTAGAGTCTAGTCTAGAGTCTAGTCTATAGCCTAGTCTATAGTCTAGTCTATAGTCTAGTATATAGTCTAGTCTATAGTCTAGTCTATAGTCTAGTCTATAGTCTAGTCTATAGTCTAGTCTATAGTCTAGTCTATAGTCTAGTCTATAGTCTAGTCTATAGTCTAGTCTATAGTCTAGTCTATAATTTAGTCTATAGTCTAGTCTATAGTCTAGTCTATAGTCTAGTCTATAGTCTAGTCTATAGTCTAGTCTATAGTCTAGTCTATAGTCTAGTCTATAGTCTAGTCAATAGTCTAGTCTATAGTCTAGTCAATAGTCTAGTCTATAGTCTAGTCTATAGTCTAGTCTATAATCTAGTCTATAGTCTAGTCTATAGTCTAGTCTATAGTCTAGTCTATAGTCTAGTCTATAGTCTAGTCTATAGTCTAGTCTATAGTCTAGTTTATTGTCTAGTTTATAGTCTACTCTATAGTATAGTCTATAGTGTAGTCTATAGTCTACTCTGTAGTCTAGTCTATACTTTATTCTATAGTCTAGTCTTTAGTCTAGTATATAGTCTAGTTTATAGTCTAATCTATTCTCTAGTCTATAGTCTAGTCTATGCTCTAGTCTACATTCTAGTCTTAATAATATTATATTAAAATATGATTTCTATATATAGTTCAAATATTTGTTTTAAATTTTATCGTGATACTGCAGTTTAAAGCCGTCAGGTTTTAATGGGATCTTTTAAAAACGTCGTCTAAAAAATGTAATATGACTAACGTTGGTGCAAATTTCATCCTGATCTCGGCTTTAAAAGTTGGGTCATTTGATATAAAAATAGATTCTTGAGTCCATGTAGGTCCATTTACGTATATTAGCACCGATACTTACTTAATAATAAACGTAACAATATCATCCAATATATTATGTGTAACATATTTGGAAAGTTTTTTCTCTTCAATGCCGTTTTTATGAAGTGTTGCCATAAAATCGGTTAATGGACGAGACATACGAAATTGTAAGTCTAAACTGCGACCAGCAAATATTAGAGGATCCTAAAAAATAAAGTAAAAATACAACTTACTTCAGTACTACAAAAGAAAATCTAAACACTAACCTGATGTGTTATTGGTATTAAACCAAAAAGTCTTGTAGCTTTGGTGGGACCCCATTCACCGCTGGCACAGTCGGGTAATGGTACCATAACTGTTTGCAATTCCTCACAACATATCTGTAACATAATGTGGACATGTAAAGTTAAGATTTCTCTTTAATTTTAAGTTTAAATTAACAACATACCTTAAATTTGCAAACAGATTTAAACTTCATTGGTTCACCCGTCAAATACTCCTGAGGCGTAACGGCATTGGCAAAAATATCTAGCAGAAATGCACCCGAACAGGGTGCATGTACCCTAAAGGCTACAATATTGCCAATTACCGATTGCATGACAAAACGTTTGAGTGAAACGGCATCGTAAGAGTCCTCATCACTGTCATAGAATTTCAGATTATAATGGAAAATCAGACAACTTTGCATATCCGTGGGCATTGCAATGCGCACAGTAGCAGCTCCTAAAATGTAACACATTATACTACTTTAAAGAATATGTATATTTTTATGCGACATACCGGTATCATCAGTAAACACCACTGCTCCGTAACCTTCGTCGGCGAAATGCAAACCGTAACGGAAGAATAAAGAACGAACAAAAGGTAGATTTTCGAATTCTCTCAGCGTAATAGGTCTCTTAAGTAGTTGCCATTCTTCTTGGAGGGGGAAGAATTCGTAAATAAATTCCCGAGGATCCGTTAAGAAATAATGATCATCATATTCATATCTAGATGAAAAAACAAATGATTAATACTTAATACTAATATTGTCGCAGAGTATACCTTACCTTAGACTATCATTTTTGCCTCTACCCGTTTTTGGGGCCTCCTTAGCATTGACCAGATGACGGGCACCCCAATTACACTGAACAAAACGCCAGGCACCAGCTACATAAACGGCATTCCAAGAATTACGGAAACGTGAATCTTGGAATTTAACACCTGGCTGATAACCGGCACTCTTAGAATAACCTTTTATGACCACACAGTGCAAACCGGCATAACTGCAGAGACGTTTAAACAATACATGATAACTTTCGGTGCCATATTTAATGCCACGCAATAGACCCATGGGTGTATCACCGCGTAAATCATCATCGAAATGCATGGCATTTAAATTTTTCACAGTTATCCAACGGAATATTGTACGGGCCTTTTCTATGTCGGTGGTACAACGTCCCACCAATTGACGCACTAGATCGGTAAAGGTCTTTTGATCTTCCTGGGCTACGGAAATGGCTATACGATCCACATCTTCAAATTCTATGGGATCGGTATAAATTTGGAATTTACTAACAGCTGGCGGTGCAGGCAGAGGTGCTAACATGGGATACTCCATAGGGGTAACACCTTCACTGAACTCGTCATCCAGGAAAATGCTTTCGTTCTGCATATACTCCGAACGACGAGCACTTATCAATTCTAACATTTCACTAGACTGACGATCGACTAGAGCCGCAGTTTCATAACGTTCATGTTCCAACATTTTACGTGTTATACTCTCCTTCTTTTTGCTTCGTCTCAGGGTCATATTCTTTTCCAAGTCCTCTTTCTGTTGTTCATGCCGCAGCGTAAGAATATTTTGTTCCTCACGATTACGTCTTGAGGTGGCCAATTCCTTTTCGAATTTATGCGCCAATCTCTGTAATTCACGTTCCCATTCTGTTTGGAATTCCGATTGGATTTTACGATCTTCCTCTTCACGTTTACGTGCAAATTTACGATATAGTTCATCCTCCTCTTTGCGATGTTTCATTTCGAGTCGAGCCTGTTCCTCTCGAGCCTAGCGAAGCGTAACATGGAAGAAGAAGAAAAATATACAATAAAAATAAATTACATATTAATTATTTTAGCGAATGATCATTAATGTTAATTTGTTTCGGTATAAAACATGTGAGAGAAAAAAATAATGGAAAAAAAAGTTCATTATAATGCATTTTGCGTTTTTCAAATTGTAAATATTAATTAACCACCTCATTTTTCATTAATTTTACGATGCAGTTGTTCCCAAACGGTGGTTCAAATAATGTGGGAAATATATAAGTTACCGTTACAGTTCAATGAACTATGTTACCAGAAACATACGGTTTAAATAGTTCCCTTTCTCCGAAGATGCATTATGCACTGTCGATTTAGCAAACGTCTGGGTTGCAGTCAGGAATATAGTCTGTACAGTAGTCTGATCTATAGTATACAAAATATTCAGACTATAGTTCAGGCTCAGAACTATAGTCTGTAATATAGTCTGGACTATGGTCTGTCCTATACTCTTGACTTGACTCTTGCACTTTAGTCCGAACTATACTCTGGACTATAGTCTGGACCACAATCTGCAATATGTTCTGAACTATAGTCTGGATTATATTCTGCACTATTGTCTAGACTATAGTCTGCAATATAGTCTGGAATATTGTCTGTACTATAGTCTGGACTATTGTCTGCACTATAGTATGGACTATAGTCTGCACTATAGTCCGGACTATTGTCTTTACTATTGTCCGCACTATTGTCTAGACAATAGTCTGGACTATAGTCTGCACTATAGTATGCACTAAAGTCTTGACTATTGTCTTCACTATAGTCTGGATTATAGTCTGGACTATAGTCTGCACTATAGTCTGGACTATAGTCTGTACTATAGACTGCACTATAGTCTGCACTATAGTCTGGACTATAGTCTGCACTATAGTCTGGATTATAGTCTGGACTATAGTCTGCACTATAGTCTGGACTATAGTCTGCACTATAGACTGGACTATAGTCTGCACTATAGTCTGGATTATAGTCTGCACTATAGTCTGCACTATAGTCTGGACTATAGTCTGCACTATAGTCTGGACTATAGTCTGCACTATAGTCTGGACTATAATCTGCACTATAGTCTGGACTATAATCTGCACTATAGTCAGCACTATAGTCCGGACTATTGTCTAGACTATAGTCTGCACTATAGTCTGCATTATAGGCTCGACTAAAGTCTGGATTAAAGTCTGGACTATTGTATATGCTATAGTCTGGACTATAGTCTGCATTATAGTCTGTACTAAGTTTGGACTATAGTCTGCACTACAGTTTGGACTATAGTCTGCACTATAGTTTGGACTATAGTCTGCATTATAGTCTGGACTATAGTCTGGATTATAGTCTGGATTATATTCTGGACTATAGTCTGGAATATAGACTGGACTATAGTCTGGACTATAGACTGCACTATAGTCTGCACTATAGTCTGGACTATAGTCTGCACTATAGTCTGCACTATAGTCTGCACTATAGTCTGCACTATAGTCTGGACTATAGTCTGCACTACAGTCTGGACTATAGTCTGCACTATAGTCTGGACTATAGTCTGCACTATAGTCTGGACTATAGTCTGCACTATAGCCTGGACTATAGTCTGCACAATAGTCTGGACTATAGTCTGTACTATAGTTTGGACTATAGTCTGCGCTATTATCTGGACTATAGTCTGCACTATAGTCTGGACTATAGTCTGCACTATAGTTTGGACTATAGTCTGCACTAGTTTGGACTATAGTCTGCGTTATTATCTGGACTATAGTCTGCACTATAGTCTGGACTATAGTCTGCACTATAGTTTGGACTATAGTCTGCACTAAAGTCTGGACTATAGTCTGCACTAAAGTCTGGACTATAGTCTGCACTATAGTCTGGACTATAGTCTGTACTATAGTCTGGACTATAGCCTGCACTATAGTCTGGACTATAGTCTGCACTATAGTCTGCACTACAGTTTGGACTATAGTCTGTACTGTAGTCTGGACTATAGTCTGCACTATAGTCTGGACTATAATCTGCACTATACTCTTCACTATGGCCTGCACAATAGTCTGCATTATAGTCTGGACTATAGTCTGTACTATGGTCTGCATTATAATGTAGACTATGGTCTGAACTATAGTCTACATTATAGTCTGGACTATAGTTTGGATTATAGTCTGGACTATAGTCTGCACTATTCTGGACTATGCACTATAGTTTGGACTGTACCTATATAATATAATCTGCACAAAGTCAGTTTGAACTAATATATGAACAATTATCAGAGTAGATCAATAATCAGGACTGTAGCCAAGCCTATAGTCTGAAGTCTAGCCTGGACAATATTCCGGACTACAGTCTATAATAGTTTGCAAACCCCTGTTTTAGGCCTTTTAACTATTACTGGCATTATAGCTCTTATTAATATACAATTTTTCTATTATTTCGTAATGGTTTGTTGGTTAATTTAATTATAACAATCCTGTTTGAGCTTGAATACATTTCTTTTTTTTTTCTTTTTGTTTGACCAAAACTCTATATTAATATTATACATTTACAACATTCCCTCTCTTCACTCATTGCATCTAATAGATAGTTTTAACTGCAGATGCAGTTAAAACTAACAACTGTTTTAGAGTTAGTTAGTAAAGTGGTTGTTGTAATTATTATTGCCACTAACTACTACTACTTACTACTACTAGTAGTAGTTTATTATAATCAGTTTGTTAGACCATTGGACTGTCTGTCCATCTTTAAGCCAATTATATTTTTTGGTTTGTTATATTCCGGTTTTAATTTGCTCATATCTGATGGCACATCAGTGTTAATAAAAATTTGTTAACTATTAAAAATATCATTGTCATTATTTTGTAGTTGTTGTTTGGTTTTTCTTAATACAAATTTTTATCTTGAATCTTGCTAAAAGTTGCAAATGATTGAATGAATGTTATCTGTTTTTTATATAGTAAAAATATCTATGTATCTATAAATGATATTTTAATGGAAAACATATATTATCAAACATCATGATTATTTTCGAAATGTTGCATGATTTTCACAATTACAGAGAGAAGATGAAATAAAATGTGATTTTAAATAATTGATTATTTTTGGTAATTAATAATAAATTAAGAGAAGTTATGTGTTTAAAAACATATAATTGTTTTACAAATTTAAAATTTAAAATCCAAAAGATGCACTTGATTTAAAACGATATAAGTTAAAATATTTAAATTCCTTGCAAGATTTTTTATAATCAACATGAAATTAATTTTAAACCTGAAATACATTTTCCAAAAAAAAAAAAAACCAAAACACAGACTTATTTGTAATTTGATGCAAAAAAGAGCATTTCAAATTAAAATCAACCCTGTTGGCTACAAATTACAAAAGTTTTTTGCTGTTACAACCGTTAAAAAACAAGTTAAACTATTAAAAGTAATTTTACACTTAACTATTTTGTTTAAATCTAATAAAAACAACAATGTGTCAAATAGGTAAAATAATAAAAAACAACATACTTCAAACTTTAAGAGGTTAAATTAGACTTTCAAACATCATACAAATAACGATTATATAAAAACCAGGTATTGAAATATTTTATTCATATTACAACAAATATATTCAGTTTTCCTACAAAATGCAGTTTGAAAAGAAATATTTAAATATTACGCTTTTCTTAAAAAATAACATGCATGCAAAGCTGTAGGGTATAAATGTAATCAAACAAAATCAACTTGTAACAATAAAATTTTTGTTAAAATATTGCAACAAGTAAACAACTTCACAAAAACGGAGGCAAAAACTTCAAAACATTTTTGCCAAATACGGAAGCAAGTCAAAGAAATACAAAACAAAAATTAAAAAAAATAACAATACACTGACTGATTGATAAAACAAAAGGAAAAATATTGCAAACCCGGCTACAAGCAACAACATATTTCATTGCAGACATTAACAACAATAAACTCCATACCACCACTCTTGAAATTGTGGCTGCAACTTGCAACAATCATCATGATTATCACAACTAAATAAAAACAACAAAATTTAACATGCTGACCATACGACATTGTTTACAGAAAATACTAAGTGTCGAGAGTTTGATCGAAAACACTCAGGACTATAGACTACAGTCCAGGCATAAGACTGGACTAAAACTAGACCCTACTCCTAGATAGACAGACTAGACTATGAACCTACTGTAGGCAATCAATAGTGTAAAGCTATGGATTAGATATTAAAAACTATAGACTAGACTATAGACTAAAGTATAGACTAGACTATAAACTAGACATAGACTAGACTATAAACTAGACATAGACTAGACTATAGACTAGACTATAGGATTATAGACTAGATATAGACTAGACTATTAGACTAGGACTATAGACTAGACTATAGACTAGGACTATAGACTCGACTATAGACTAGACTATAGACTAGACTATAGACTAGGACTATAGACTAGACTATAGACTAGGACTATAGACTAGACTAGACTAGACTATAGCTAGACTATAGACTATAGACTATAGACTATAGACTAGACTATAGACTAGACTATAGACCCGAACTATTAGACTAGACTATAGGGACTTAGACTATAGACTAGACTATAGACTAGACTATAGACTAGATATAGACTCGACTATAGACTAGACTATAGACTAGACTATAGACTAGACTATAGGACTAGACTATAGACTAGACTATAGGACTAGACTATAGACTAGACTATAGACTAGACTATAGACTAGACTATAGACTAGACTATAGACTAGACTATAGACTAGACTATAGACTAGACTATAGACTAGACTATAGACTAGACTATAGACTAGACTATAGACTAGACTATAGACTAGACTATAGACTAGACTATAGACTAGACTATAGACTAGACTATAGACTAGACTATAGACTAGACTATAGACTAGACTATAGACTAGACTATAGACTAGACTATAGACTAGACTATAGACTAGACTATAGACTAGA